CTTCCCGAGAAATTGTGCGATTCGATCACCAGTTTTCTTACAGATCGGAGCATCAAGGTCGTTGTAGACGGTGCAAGCTCCGATTACTAGCCTATTAATGCTGGCGTTCCACAAGACTGCGTACTATCGCCAACGCTGTTTCTTCTGCATATCATTGATATGTTACAAACCCGTAACATTCATTGCTATACAGATGAAGGGTGGCGGGTAAAGTCTCCGAGTACCAGGACAAACTTGTGTCTGAAGTCGGGTCTTTACTAAACAATCTCGGATGGGGGGCGGCTAAATCTAGTCCAGTTTAACCCTCAGAAGACACAAGTTTGCACGTTAACCACTAAAAAGAACCCCTTGTCGTATCTCCTCAGCTTCAAAGTACTCCCCTTGTTGCCTCAGCTAGTATTAGAATCCTCGGCGTCGACATATAGAGTGATGTGCAATTTCGTGGTCACTTGGAAGAGAAGGCCAAATTGGCCTCTAAAAAAGCTTGGCGTGCTTAGCAGAGCGGAACAGTATTTCATGCCGGCACACCGCCTGCAACTTTACAAGGCGCAGGTTTGGCCGCACATGGAATACTGTTCCCATTTCTGGGATGGGGTTTCCCAGTACCAGCTCCTTCCATTCGACCGCATCCAGCGCAGAGCGGCTCGAATCGTCGACGACCGAGTGCTTTCCGATCGGCTCGATTCACTGGCGCTGCGAAGAGATGTTGCATCTCTTTGCATTTTCTTTCGCATATACCATTGGGAGTGTTCTGAGGAATTATTCGGATTAATCCCAGCTGCCAAATTTCGTTAACGCACTACGGGGCAAACGTTTCGAGACTATCCACACCATCTGGATGACTGGCGGTCCACTACTGTATGTTTTACAAGAGGTTTTCTTTCGCGTACGACCTCTCTGTGGAATAGTTTACCACCGGCGATATTTCCGGACCAATACGACTCTTCAATAAAAGAGGTTACCCCTTTCTAAAAGGCCGTCAACGTACCTGCAATTACCCTGGTGTTGCGGTTGATCATGGGCGGCGGCAGGCACTTAACATTGGGTGGGCCGCATGCTCTTTGCCCCCTTTTCTATAAAAAATACAAATTATTTTTAAAAGAATAAGGATTAAAAACAAGAACACATTCCACCTGATGGTAAATGGATGCTGTGGCCCTTAGACATCTATATTTATCCTCGATTAAGAAATCAAAACGCGAATGTGTTGTCACCCCTGAGGAATAAGATGAAATGCTTTGTTTCCAGTAAAAAGGATCTCCGGATCTCTAGACCTTAGAACACAGCAGTATAAAGCTGCTATTTTACGCTGGTATTCTGTGAGAGCGTGGTCCTTCTTCGGTCGAGCCGACCCATTGGTGCTACAACACATAATATAGCTGCAGCGTGGCTCTATCACATGAAAAATGTAATAGTGTATACAGAATGACATACGATTATAGATCGATAGATATCTGAAATATGTTATATGATGTATTAAAATCAAGGCGAATGAAAATTTGGAGTTTACAAATATGACACAGCCATCGCCTTCCTCGCCAATTAAATTAAAGGGAAGTGCGAAATGTCACACGCCGCCGCCGCAAGCCGAAATATACCCAAGTCTGTTATACATTGTTAAGTATATCAGAAAAAAAACGAATTAAATAAACTGTATTTATTAAATACAGTTTATTTAATTCGTACTGGACAAACTCGTAATATTCCGAGATCACTTACTATTCTCTCCTAAGAAAACGACTATGATGCTTCATATTAAGCACTAATACTACTAATAGATAAATCAGAAAACATGGCTTAATGTTCAACTAGAATGACACTGCTACATACTCCTTTGTCATTAAAATATTCATTAAGACTATATTAAGCCATGGATATGTTAACCAAAAATACTTGTTTTGTTTTATTATAACTTGTAATCTATGTTGAAAAATATATTTTAATCAATTCCATTCCAAAAACTCAATAAATTCGCATACTTTGATAGAACGAAGTTTTTTTTTTTGCGAATCTTCGAAGGAACAAACGGAAATTTAAATAAACAACACTATTACGCCAGCGACAGCAGGAACTTCCCTTCGAGTACTGTTTATGTACTCTAATTGCAATCGCCTTGAGCAAACGTCACTTTTATCGATGAAACGAGCTTTAATCGCCTTCATTTTTTCAGTTTAAAAGCTCTTTTACTTTTCTTTATTTACGTCAGAGGGGTTGTTCTATATTATTATATTTCTAGATAAGTCTTATCTACAATAGTTTGATAATATAATCGTGTATTGTATCAGTTCTTTACAATACTATCAAAAATACACTACAGGATTGTGTCTGGTATCAGGTCGCAAATAGTTCACTGTTGGACAAAGATAACTCCTATATTTGCCAAGATTTTTTGACACAAGATATTTATCTCGCTACATGGACGATGTTCCCCGTTGTCGAAAAACAATAATCCTGTGGTTTCCGTTCAGTGCACAGTCAACCTGATAGTAAATGAATGCTGTGGCTAATAGACATCTACATTTATCCTCGATTAAGAATAAAAATGCAGATGCGTTGTCACCCCTGAGTACTAAGATGGAATCCCCTGTTTCTAGTAAAAAAGGGTCTCCGGATCTCTTCACTAACCATACGAAATACAGCAGTATTAAGCTGCTATTTTGTGAGAACGTGGTCCTTCCCAGATCGAGCCGACCCATTCACTCTACAACCGTAATATAGTAGCAGCGTGGCTCTGCCACGTATCACGATGTATAGAAGTAACAAATATTTTTTTAGACCGTTTTGTGGCCTTGGTGTGGCTGTGGTTAGATTACCCACTAACCCATATCGTCCCATGGGCGTCGCAAGAGGCGACAGAGGGAAACTGTAACGGGAGATGGGCTGCAGCTCCTTCCTGATAACAGATAAGAAAATAAAAACTGGGGTTACCAACCCGCCTGCCAAGCGTGGTAGCTATTGCTAAATCCTCCCTATGAGACAATCTATGGGGGAGCAGTGGAATTTTATAAGCTGCTAAATGATGTCGAAATAGTTGGAATACCAGAATTTTCAGGCGAATCAACAATGCATATTGTGCTGACCGTTGCCTCTAAACTCGGAGTATCTCTAACGGAACAAGACATAGTTTAAATTGGCTGCGCAAGGATACGCGAACAGGTAACCAAAAAAAAAACACGTCATTATCTATTAGTGCGCACCGCTTGGCTGTAAGATTAACGCGTCGTACATTACGCGATCACTTATTAAAAATGCTCGAATGCGCCGTCCGCTTCCTATAGGAGACCTAGGACTACCACCTCACGAATCAACTGCTTTTTATGTTATATATGCTATATGCTTTTTATATAAACTCCGAAATGGATATTGAACGTATTTTAGGTGTACCCTATTCAAAAATTTCTAAATAATGTTAAATTTATTTTGGGGCTCCTTACTATTTTATTTTTGTTCATTTTGTTAGATAATATTGTGCTTTTATAATACCTTATACTTTATTATTAATTACATGTTATTTCATAGTTTTTAATTCCTATGTTTTATACAATATTTTATTATGTCTATATTCTGCAGTAGTTTGCAGTAGCAATATTGTACTTGTAGTAGTATTTTAACCTCATGTGCCAATAAATAAAGCTGCTGTCCTGCAGAATCTGTATTATTGCGTAAACATTTTTATGACCTTGTTATTTTTTTTTGGAATTGGTTAACGTTATTTTAACTTACTTAATTACTTTTACTTACTTTCTTTTGTTAACTAGTACAAGTATAGAAATATGTTGTTTTTATTTTTAATATTTTTTAATAATTATTTTTACCTTATTTTATTCTCATTTTTGTGCGAATATTTTGTAAATTTTTTTGGCTTGTTTGTATGTATTTTTGATGATATATTGAAAATAATAATATATTTTATATGCATGCCGATGCTAGCCAGTTCAAATTATAATATTATATGTTACTATAAATACTCTTTAATTATTTGTGTTCAACATATCGACGATTATATCGCTGGCGCCGGGCAATAAAGCGGTAATATCAAAAATCAAATTTTACAGGAGAAATAAAAGAAACTACTTTGTTTATTATTCAGCGTACAGTGATCCAAAACAGGCGTTCAATATGTCAAATGAAAGCTAATTTTTTACGCATTTAACCTTTTAAAAATTCTTATAATGGTATAAATATTTAATGAAGTAATTGAAAAAATGTATAATACAAATTATAGATAATACCATTTCATTTGCAACATCATTAAGGATTTTTAAACACACTGACCACTGAGATTCAGGATTGTAAGAATATAATACGACGTGATTTCCACTTTAAATCTCGAGCGTACCAGCCGATTACCACCTTCTTCAAGGAATTTTTATAGCCAAAGCTTAGCTGTGTCATCCAATTATCGCTATTTTAGAAACATATCAATGAAACATATTTTTATGTAACCATTATTAAGACCGACCTTATACGAGTATTGTAATTAAGTTTCATGTTTACCATTTCATACAGCATTTTATGAAATTAATCACATTTTTTAACGGTACTACTACCTAATTCTTGCTTAATTAAATTTTAAATGATTACTATTTTATATAATAAAAAACCCTTGAAATCACATATTTTTTAATATGTATTAAACTTTGGAAACAAAAGTAAAACGGTCAATCCCTTAAAGAGAAAAAAATATTATGCTACTTGTATTATGCTGCTTGAATAATATCAAATAATTTTTATTAACAATTAAACTTTGGAAACAAAAATAAATAGGCCAATCCATTAAAAAGGAAAAAAAAACTACTATGCTACCTTAATTTGAATAAAATCATATGATTTTTATTTACTATTAATCTTTAGGAAAAAAAAAAACGGCCCATCCTTTAAAAAAATATAATACTCCCCTAATTTGAATAAAATCATATAATTTTATTCACTATTAAACTTTACAAACAAAAATAAAATGGTCAAAACCTTTAAAAATTAAACAAAAATATTATGGTACTTTAATTTGAATCTTCGTTTTCAATATCGATTTCTTCTTCAGAGTTCCCAACACTATGCAAATTGTTATAAAATGTATGATAATGTATCGGGATTGCTTCAGTTTTGCAGAGACTCATCAAATCATCATAAAGTGGTTTTGGTAAGGCGATTGGCTCTCTGTACAGATTTTTCAATTCATCTCTTGAAACATCAGTCACTGGCGTCTTTTTGGGTCTTCCTCTTGAAGATCTGGTGTCTGATGCAGTGTTTAAAGAAATATACTCATCGTCAAAGTTATACTTCAAATAAATAACATCTGGATGGGCTTGAGTCATTTTGATTTCGTGAATCTTTGTCCACAGAACTTTTTCATTAGTTTGGTCTGCCCGCAACCAGTATAGTTTGTCCATTATCTCTTTTAAATCGAAGAAATCACGTTGTTCCATTTCTTTAGGTAATTTTTTACCATTTATCTTGGAATTCATGATTATGCCACACATTTGATCAGGAGTATAAATCGTGTGGTTCTTTTTTGCGCGTCCGATAGAAGAGAATGCATCGACTGGCACATTCAGGCTGGCTATGGCCAGTTTCAAAGCACCTATGTATTATGTTAACTCCATACTTTTTGGCCAAATATAAATAAAGAGCAAAGATAATCCTGTTTTTATTCTGGCCAGCGTAACCATCGGAATAAAATATGAAATTCTCGATACCACGTTGGCTCAGAGACTCAATTTCAATGAAATATAGGACGCAACTGGCGATTTCGTTAGCAACCTCCTTTTGACCACTTGATAGTGCCAATTGATATGCAGTAACCTCTTCTACTTAATGAGTTGTAAATCGTAAAATTCTATATAGGATACTTTTGCTTGTAATGAAAGATTCCTATCTCTTATTGAGGAATTGAAAAGTGTGATTATTTAACTGGAAATAGTTTTATATGTGTTATGTTTGTTTTTCGGATATGTTAAGTGTATTCAAAATTTTTATTTGCATATGTCAATTGATTCTGATTCATTTATCTTGAAAACATAGCTAATCGTTTGTGTCCTGTTTTTGTTCTTACTAGTTGTATTTTTTAATATCTTTAGTATTTCCATGGCGTAAAATATAGTACCACTGATCCTAGTGATCACTAAGTTTTCAAAATTCGTCGTATACAGCCTGCCGAGAGACTTGAGAAATATTTTCACCGCATTTCTTATTACATTTACAGGCGTCATTTATTGTATTTGTTTCAAACATTTTTTCGAATTACTACCATTATAAGCTTGGCCTGAATTTTTCAGGTTTCTTTTTCTTAACTTTTACCCAATTTTCTTCGTTTTGCCTTTTTTCTAGTTAATTCTTTGATGATTGATGGTACAACAGATACAGACGGAAAATTTTCTATCGTTGCAGTTTAGTTGCAATTATTAGATTCGATATTAATATTTTCTGTGGTTGTAGATTGGATATGCAGTCATTATATTCGACGTCAATATTTTCTATCGTTGTAGATTGGTTTTCAACTAAGAAATTCGCATGTAAAATTATAGTATTATTGCAATCATTAGATTCGACGGCAGTTTTTTCACATTGTAAAATCAAAATATTTGAATAATCATAATCGACCGGTGAAGTGCATAAAATATTTGGGTCTATCGTGAGATGTGTTTTGTATATTTTCTTTTTGGGGTGTAGTTTGGAGGCAAGTTTCTGCTTGTAGTAACGTTGTTGCCTGTTGCATCGTTGCGTCACTTAGTGTTGTAAGGTCTGTAGATTCAAACACATTATAACACACTATAGACGGAGTGACAGGATTCTCTTTAAATCTGCGCTTGCTTCTGTGTGTCCTGCCCTATGGAGTTGGAAAAGCTATTTGTATAGAATATATTTTTATATATATTTTTATTTGTGTAAAATATATTACTGTTCCTCTTTGTTTAGAAATTTAGTGTAAAGATGTTCACCGGTATTTTGTGTTAAGTTTCTTAGACTAATGCACTAATACATAACTTATTCGTTAAATAAATTTCCATACAATAAAGAAGTTATTGTCATTTATTCTAGCGAAATATTAATAAAAAAACGTGAAAAAATAAGAGTGATAGATTGATACCCAGAGAAGCCAAGAATCAAATAACATTAAAAAGGGCGTAACAGGCGGTTACCGCTATATTGCCCGGGGCCAGCGATATACATGAAATGATTATTCATACAAAAATATTATTACAACATGGCTACTACTAAAAGTAAAAGTTTAAGAGTTGGCCTTTATAATTCTGGGTCGATCAGAAGCAAAAGCTATGAGTTTCAGGCAGCTCTGCTATGTGAATCTGCTGATATTATGGCGATAAACGAAACGTGGCTACGAGCTGGTGAAGATACCTGTGCTCCGTTAGTTCCCGGCTATCGCTTCAGTCGTATTCCCCGTTCTTGTAACCTATCTAGGACACGTGGTGGTAGTGTTAGTTTCTACATCAAACGTGGGATTAATGCTCGTGCTTATCCCCATAATATTATCTTTGATGAGGTGGAGTGGCTATCGCTATCCATTAACAAAGTTAAGCTTTTAATTGAAACGGCCTATCGACCACAATGGGTAAATGTAGAAAGATTCTTTGATTCTCTTACAGACACTTTAACTTCTTATTCAAATTTCGAAAGTACAATTTTATTAGGAGATTTCAATATAAATATTTTGGATGAAAGTGACAACAAAAGGCAACAATTTTTGCAATATACTAGGTTAAAAAACTGTATTTTTCAACCTACCATTTTACACAAGAAAGTGCTACATTAATTGATTTGGTAATGACGGACGCCGGTGTGACTAATACTAGTGTAAAATATACTCCTGAACTTGGTGGTCATGCTAACATATTAGTTGATTTTAAGATTAAAAGGCCTAAGGTAGCTCTAAGGCAGCAAATTATAAGACATGAAAAATATCAATCTGTCAGATTTTGAGTCGGAAGTTGAATCCATAAATTGGGATAGCATTACTAGGTAAAATTGTGTGAATGATATAGTTTCTGTTTTCTCTAAACGCATTTTAGAATTGTTTGATAAACATGCTCCAGAGAAACTAATAATTATGTGTACGAAACAATTGCCATGGTTCACGAGTAATTTTAAGTACATTATGCAGCTCCGGGATAGCGCGCACTATAAATATCGTCACACAAAAACTTAGAGAGATAAAATTCAATATAAGATCCTTAAAAGTCTGATAAGCAGCACTCTCTGTGCCGAGATGAAAGCATATTTTGATTACCACATTAATCAACATTTACATAACATAAATGTTCTATGGAAAAATTTGAAGTCATTTGCGTTTCCGTCATTTAAAAGTTCGAATGAATTACCAGAATATCTTAGTGATCCCGACGAAATTAATCGTCACTTTTTGAGTATACCGGGAACAAACATCGCCTATTCATCTAATATAATTAATTCGGAAAGTATAAACCATATATCTGATACTTTTAAACTAATGCCAGTTCATGAAAATGTAATTGCAAAAATTATAATGGAAATTAAGTCAAATGCTCAAGTCGTTGACTGCATTAATATGGATATGATAATACTAACGCTTACTTTGATAACTTTAAATATTATAACTACAATAATTAATAAATCCATTACAGAGTCTATTTCCCTTCTTCTTAGAAAACTGCGCTTATTCGTCCAATACCAAAAAAATAACCCATCAAATGTAGGTGACCTAAGGTCCATTAGTGTACTGCCTTATTTATCGAAAATACTTGAGAAGGTTGTTAACTCACAAGTTTTGAATTTCGGTGAAAAACATCAAATAATACCCAACCTACAATCAGGTTTTAGAAAAAATTACGGAACAGCAACAGCTCTGATGAATATCATGGATGATCTGTTATCTTTTTCGGATTCTGGAAAAGGTACTATTCTCACTTTATTAGATTTTCAAGGGCCTTTGACTCAATTAACACAAATTTCCTGATTTGTAAGCTTTCATATTACGGCTTTTATAAAGAAACACTCAATTGGTACAAAAGCTATTTAACTGACCGTCATCAAAAGGTAGTTTTAGACGGGCACAATGGTAAAAACTGTGTCTCGAAGCTTCTTCCTCAATGTGTTCCTCAAGGTTCCGTATTAGGGCCTTTGCTTTTTATCATTTACAGCGCTGATATAATAAACTGTCTCCAAAACTGTAAATACCATCTATACGCCGATTATTTACAGGTATACTTACCCATAGATCGAAAAAATATTAATGCTTTAGTAAATAAGTTAAATCAGGATCTTCAACGTATTTGCGATTGGTCACAAAATAACTCTATGGTAATTAATCCTTTAAAGTCGACATTCCTAATCATTGCCACTAAAAAGCAGGTACACGATATTGCTATAACTAAACTCGATATATGTGTTAATGGAGAGACAATTGCACAAGTTCACGAAGCACGAAATTTAGGCATTCTTTTTGACAGCAATTTGAGGTTTGAAAACCATGTAACCAATTTGGTACAAAACTGATTTTACGGGTTAAAAGTTCTATACAAATTTAGACAATTCATTACAGTTAATTTACGTGTAAAACTTTGTGAAACTCTAGTTTTAGCTAAAATAAATTATTGTATAACTGTTTACGGACCTTGTTTGCTTAATAAATCTCAAAAATTAATCCAGAGGGTACAGAATGCTTGTGAACGCTATTGTTTTTACATACCGAGACGATCTCATGTAACGTCATATCTTAATGCTTCGAATATGTTAAAAATGCAGAGGCGTCTCAAACTTTTTTATGCTTCTTTGCATTCGGCGTAATAAATACAAAGAACCCAGAATATTTATACAAAAAACTTAACTGGAGAAATGGCCAACATTTATATAAAATTCGACTATGCTCTAAAGTTCTTTGCGTCCCTAAACAACTCGGCTTTCCGGGGCAGTTTTAAGTTTATGGCAACTAAGTGTTGGAATGATCTCCCACCACCTCTACGCAGTATGACAAGTGAAACCAGTTTTAAAAAGAATTATAGACGTCACTTACTAAGCGATAATTTTTCTTATTAACATTTTATATATAAAATATTTTTTTTATTTTTTTTATGATAATTAAAAATATTTCTTAATTATTAATTTGAACTGGCTAATACTCGCAAATACTCGCTAATACTTAGGAAAACACGACATGTACTCTAATATGAACAGTTGTGATTAAATGTAATATAAGCAGGGATGCGCGCGTACTGTACTCTTCATTTGTTGGGCGCTGGCAGAATAATAGCTTTGTAGGTAACTGCAACATTTATGCTGAGCTAGGGCCCATTCCATGACTACCCTATGTAATTTTGGTTATTTCTATGTATATGGCTCACTGTAACTTTATTGGTGGTAATGAATAAATGTTTTTATTATTATTTGTGGTATTAGTAGTGTATTCTCATCTGGTTGGGCTGAATAAATATATAAAAGGAAATGATAAATATACATAAATATATATTTCATATTTTCATACTAGCAAAAATAGATAACAAATACATAAACAAATAAAATCCCAACCAGATGGAGGCCTTCGGCAGGGGAGATCAAACGGCCAAGGGTTAGGGGTAAAGGGAGAGAAACCGGTGGACGATGTGGGTGGTATCGAGGAGCACCGCCTTCTGCATTTGAGCCTGGAGCGGTCCGTCACGGATTCCCAGCCTCCTCAGATGATCCGAGAGGCTGACTGGGATTATCCCGTTTGCAGAAACGACTACAGGAATAATTTCAGTCGACAAACCATCCCACATGTCGGTCACCACGTGAGCCAGGTCCAGATATTTTGTTCGTTTATCTGTTTCGGCTTTAACGAGGTTCTCGTCATACGGAATGGTAATGTCGACCAAAAATATCATTGACTGTGCCCCGTCCATAAGCACAATATCAGGCTTATTCGAAAGAATAATCCTGTCTGTGATAATGGCTCGGTCCCAGTAGAGCCTGGCGCGATCAATTCATGAGCACGGCTTCCGGCAAGTACTTGTAATACCGGTCCACGAGACCGTATTTCAGAGCGAGCTCCTGGTGAAGAATTCTGGCTACAGGTTGTGCCTGTGCATGTACTTAGAGTTAGAAAGCGCCGAACAACCGGAGATGGCATGCCTAAGTGATTCGCCGGGATGGCGACAAGCTCAACAAATGTCGACGGTGCCATTCTTTAGGATGTATCTCCGACAGTTGTTGGTCTTAATAACCTGATCCTGTATTGCAGAGACAAAACCCTCGGTTTCCCCGAAGAGGTCACCAAAGCGGCCTGAGAGGCTACTGTGTCTACGAAAGACTCATGTAGAGCCTTGTAGAACCTCTCGTGGAGCTCCTTCTCCTTCCATACGGTCTCCTGGTCGGAAATGTACTGCAATGCCGGGTCTTGCCATTGCTCGGTGGCTAAGGATAGAGGGGTAAGCCCTTTATCACAAAAAAATGACGTCCTTATAGGATGGATCATCCGATCTCACCAGGAAGTAATTACGGAGGCTGCATACTTCGCGATTATGCATGGTGAGCGCGCTCAAAAAGCCACGCCCACCATGCTTTCGTGGCAAGTACAGCCTCATTACCGACGACCTTGGATGATGCATCCTATGGGACGTCATAGTAGTGCGGACATTTCTATCTAGGGCGTTAAGTTCAGTCTGAGTCCACTACTACAACCGTTATATGCGTGTGTCTTATTCACACCAGACAAAAGGCTGTTGAGCACTTTGATCAAGCGTGTATAAAACACGTCGCAAACTGACTGTTTCATACCAGCCTCATCGATACCGATGTTCTATGACGCACCCAGGTATCGGTATATTTCAGCCTCGGAAAGGGTCCTTAAACTGATGGGCATAGATAAGTCTATTGCCCTCAGAGTTAGCAACCCTTCCCCTTTCAACATGGAGGACCGCACATTTATCCGTCCCCAGCTCCATTCCAATAGAATTGCTAAATTCACAAGTGATGTTTAGCAATTCCTCAAGATGGGAGCGACTGGAGGCGAATAATTTAAGGTCATCCATATAAAAAAGGTGGGCCACTTTTGTACCTCCTTTCCGAAGCTAAAAACCCCCTCCCGGAACCCTCCAGTAAAGTACTTGAGAGGGTTCAAAGAGAGGCAGAACCAGATTGGACTCAGACAATCGCCCTGGAAGATACCCCTTCTTATCCTTATGTGGCTTTCCGCAGCCATCATCCGCTCGCCCAGATGACAAAGGATCGTACTCCACTGCCCCATACACTGCTCGAGGAAGTCTCTAACTGTAAAGTCTATCTTGTACAGCTCGAGGACTCTCTTAAGGCATGTATTGGGCACGAGTCGAATGCCTTTCTAGTCTATCCAGGCGGCGGAGAAGTTCCGATGGTTGCGTTTCACCACTTTGCCAATGACCGCGTCAATGAGAAGTGGTTTTTTAGTTCCACGACCACCGTCTTTACATCAATTTTGAGCGCGCGACATCACTTGATTTGAGTCCAGGTGACGAGTGATATTAGTGTTTTGTATATGATCGGTAGACACGTGATGGTGCGGTATTTGCTCGGGTCTGTGGTATCCTGGTCTTTATGAATCAAATGAGTGATCCCAGTAGTGAAGATGCTCGGGAGCGATTTCTGGTTGAGAGCCTCTTGGAGCTGTCGGGCGAGCACAGTGTGACACACCAAAAACCCCTTCAGCCAGTAGTGATGCAGCCCGTTGAGTCCCGGACTTTTCCAGTTCGGGGCCTTACGGATCGCCTCGGCTACGTCCTCCGGCGTTATAATGACGGGGTCCATGGGCGTTATACTCGCCAAAACTTCCGTCCAAGAACCCTTGCTGTGGTTTTCGGGCTCTGACCACAGGCCGCGCCAGAATGTTACAGTGTCAGCCTGATTCGGTGCTGGACCCGTTCCACTTGCCATTGGTCGCTCCAATGATTCACAGAGCCTCTTCTGATCACTCTGGAAGAGATAATTCTGGTTGAACCGAGTCGACTTCTCGGTATATCCCTGAATCCGCTATCCCCAAGCAGCGATTCTCTGCTTCAGATCATCTATGCGCTCTGTCAGCGCATTATATCCGACTGGGACAAACTGTCATTTGTCCCAGCAAATGCCATTCTGACGGTGCGTACAATTCTTGGCCTGTTATTGCCTGATCTGAAGCATATCAGTCTGCCGATGAGAGCTCTAGCCTATGCGGTACGCTCCTTAATTCATTTTCTCCATGCTGGGATAGCGCTACTTTGGCCAGTAGCGCGTCCAGCCGTGGAAACCTTTGCGCCTATGATACGACAGACTGCCAGCGCAGCGCCAAAAAGAATTGAGTCCGTATCGCAAAGGTCCCGGCTGGCTTCCAAACAGGTCACCAGCATTGGGTTCAGAGCCCTCACGACAGCCCGTTCCGCTTGCTTATGGCTATGCGGGGAAGTCGCGGTCAATTTTCGATAGGCATACTGCGCGTTTCCATAATCGCCTCTTCCAATGTACTCCTCATTTGTTCTATTTCTAGTTCCTGGGCAAATATTCCATCATCATTTGAATCATCTACCACTGGGGTATTCACGGCGGTATCCACGTGTGCGTGTTGTTCTGTAACTTGTGGCACCGCATCCTCAGCCGTAGCATTTTATGAGGGAACAGCCTCATGTCGTAGCCGTTCGAGTTCGGCGTCATCAAATATATTTGAGCGCAAGATATACCAAACTCGGTCTGCCAGGTTTTGCTCGGTGACGGTTACAGATGGCTCCATCTCAGCAAAAAGTCAATGCATCCTTGTCCGATACGCAAATCCTCCAATTTCTCCCCCTTTCGCCTTATAATACGCCCGCAATGCGTTGCTATTCATTGAGATTGTCCAACGCATGCAGCGTATTCCACCAGTGGCAGGTGTCGATTGCTGGGCCCGCAAAGACCCTGCCGTCACCAAGCCTGCTGGTGGGGGTGATGGATACGAGAGGCTACTAGGTGGTCGAGCAGCACCTCGCGCTCGGCTGGCAATTCGCATGCTACCACGACCAGCGCCAGCTCCAAACGCGCCCCGGCGACTCCCAGGCAGCGGCCCTTTGCGTGTTCTATCAAATTCCATCATCCATTTTAATGGGCGTCATTCAACGGGAGACGCCTAGACCCGGCGCCGTTTCATGGTGAGGCCATGTGCACAAGCGGGCCTTTGCACCTTAAACTTATGCCGAGGCACAGCACTAACACCTCTTGGCAAGGTGCTGACTGACTGCGCTCACATAGTGGTTTTGTCACGTAACCGTTACGTCAGCGGGCGATGGGGTCGTCACTTCCCTACGCCTATTTATTTGCAAATTGTATTGGTTTTATTGCCTCTAACTGACACGCGCATCCGTTAAGATGCTAAAACCACAAGCCGTGTGGCTCAGGTAGTTTCACACAAAGAAGATAACACGTATGTCATCACCATAAAAATACCTATATAGAATATTTTGCAAATTATTATTAGGAAAACCATACTGTTACGGCCTTGAGTTACTCTAACAAAGTCGATCGAAACTAGGGCCCATTAGTAGTCCAATTCGACGGGTAACGAAAGGACCAAGACCTATGGATAATTAAACTATAACGGCTGACAAAGAAGGAAGCAACACTTACCGATTGGTGGAGGTAGGGTTAACCACGAGGCAATTGTCAGATGAAAGCCGATGTGCATATAAGTGTTTTTAAGCTATTGCATAGCTTCTATCGCGGACCTTGAGCGCGGGGACCGAATCCAGAAATTCCGTAACGAACCAAAACCTCACGCTCCCCACTCCGACGGGCACGGAGGTGTGGCGTTGAAAGCCGTGCATCGTCTAACGTCGTTTCAGTTCGGCAGACTTCGGCACTCGGCAGACTTCAGCACTCGGCAGACTTCGGCACGGTGTTTGTGTGCGTGCGACTAGACGTATGCGTGTACACTAGCTGCTAACTCAATGATAAAAATTCCTGAATAACCTACATGTATTGTAAGATATTAAAAATATTTTAAACAATATTAACTTCTCATTTATTCAATAAGAGAAAAAAAAATTGTTTTCTTATCAGTCACCACGCTCAAAAAGTGTAACTTGATTTAATATCAAAAACTTAACTGCATAAATAAAATAAATAAATAATTATAATTGCATAAGTTGATAAAAAATGCTATGCAATAGCTTTACCGCGGCAGTCACCGAGTGCCACACGTATTTTTTTGTTGCAAGGTAGATCTCTACCTTGAAGTTGAAATTAATAGTAAGTTACCAAATACTAAGTCTTACGGTCCTTTACAAATGTAAATAAATTCAATTTTTTTATTTAATGCATCAAAAGATACGAACATTTATATTGCATATTTTTATACTCGAGAACACACTCCTAAAAAGTTTGGTTTTTTTTAAAAACTTAAGTACAAATGAGCATACGGCTCACTTGATGGTAAGTAACTACCACCTCCCATGAATGACTGGAACACCAAGGGAATTGCAGGTTCTTTGCCGACCCTTAAAAAAAGAGTAAGTTCTTTCGTTCCTAAGTCGTATTGGTCCGGAAAAATTGGTAACCTATATTACGAGGATGAAAACTTCTGGTAAATCGCACATTGGCGTAACACAAATCTTCCAAATAGTATAGATGGTATCGCGAATTACGTCCTGATGTGCTGTTGTGTAATTTAGCATAAAATCATGAAATTTGGCAAAGAGCAAGGTTCCACAACACAAGTAAAGGCGTTAAATCCCGTTACAGAACTGTCTGTCACTTTTTGCGGGGAAATCTGCACACCCGTAAACAACCCTCTATCAATACGAAACTTTAACACACACATAAATACCCCATAATAGTATCGCTTGGTGTCAGCGACAACTTGTATACAAACTCGGATAAGTCGCTCGACCGATATGCATGTTTTGAGGGCCTGTGTTTTTTATGTTCCAGCAGCTATGCAGGTCTAGGAAAGGAGACCAGTATCACTGGGACCTAAAAGGTCTATTGTGATCGCTGCTATGGATATAGCTCACTGCTAAGCCCTGTCTTCAATGAATAAAAGGAGTTGCTTAGCCGTGAGCAATTTCACTTCTTCTGGGCGGAATACATAGTTTCCCAAATGAGTGTTACTTATGCAGAGGCGTTTATTCCGTTATGGAACAGAACCGATACATCCTTGAGTTGCTTAGTCCCAGGATGGCTACGTGCTTTTTAAGACAACAGTGTCCAGTTAGGACTCTTGCCAGAATGCGCGGGTGGTCAGATGACTTATAGTATTGTTGCACAATGTTTAAGCCGGATTTACATTACGAAATTAGAGGCTTGAAATTAGTTTTTTAACACTAATTTGACCAGTAATTTCACGTGTAAACGTTCAGTTTTACAATGCATGCATTACTTTTGTGACACTGGAGTAGTTTCGTGCTATGCGTATATTTTTTGTAAAACTAATGTCATGCAACTAATTTCATCATGTAAATGCGGAGCGAACCGCGAAACTAGTGTCGCGACAGCACATGCGCAGAGTGGACGTGTGGTTTTTTTGTTGGATTGCAGACAAATAGGTACGCACCAAAAATGGCTAACCACCGTTGGACAAGCGGTAAAAATATAAAATTTATCAATGCATATCAACTTAACGAGTGTTTTTGGGATCCAAAACACCCACAGTACAAAAAAAGAGATGCTCGAGAAGCGGTACACAAAATAATTAAGGAAGCCATGCAAATGGAAACTCTTAAAAATGTTGTTAGCAAAATACAAATACTTCGTAATACTTACAAAAATGAACTTTTGAAGGCAAAAACAAAGTAATACTACGGGTATACTACGGTAACTGGAGACCTATACGTTTCTAAAATACCTTGGTTATCTCATATGGATTTAAAAAAATATTGATGGGTATACCAGAGAAAATACAGAAAATGTGGTAAGTTATCATTTTATTCTTTATACCTATTATACATTACATAAACACACATTAATATTTTTACATTTAATAAATCATTCTGTCCTGCCATTCTAAACTCCCTTTTCCAATAAAGTAGTCACTATAATGTTGTCGTATTTGGTGAGCATTTCTGGAATGATTTCCACTAAAACTGCGAAGTGTTCTAAATGCTTCCTGTAGCATATCCCGCCACGAACCTCCCACTATTCTCCTGTTTCTGGATTTTCTTCCTCAATTAATCCTGGCTGAATATAATTTGATGATCTAGTTTTTAACCAATTATGCAAGACACAACATGCCTTTATAATTTTGTCCACAGTTTCTGGCAGTAAGGGAATAAAATAGGCTTTTCAAATATACGAAATTTACATGCTAATACACAAAAAGTATTTTCAATGGTTCTTCCAGCTCAGCAAAGTCGATAGTTGAATTTTTTTTTGTTTTTAGATAAATTTAGGCGTCGGCTATATTACGTCATAAGATACTCAGTTAAAGGGAACGCCTGGTCTCCCAAAATAATCATTCCTACAGGAGCATTCAAAGACTTTTCCTCTAACATATTTTAAAACAAGATCTAGCAAATATTCCCCCATCCGAAGCTCGACCATATTGACCCACGCTGATATACCTAAATTTTAAATCATTGTCACAAACTGCTAGGAGCACAATACTAATTGTTCCCTTGTAATTATAGTAATCACTCACAGAAGCATGAGACAACGTATTTGAACGTGTTTCCCATCTATAGCACCACCACATAGTGGAAAATTACATTTCTCTTGAAATCCATCAATTATTTCTCTCCAACTTTCTTCAGTGTCAGGTATCTGTAAAAAGAAAATGAGAGCTTAGTTAAATATTTTGTTTCAGACACCAAACATCAATCAAGAATCTTCTGCTTCTGAATCCAATAGTGAATAGTTCACTGTACTATGCTCACCATGTACAAGAAACAAAAGGAAAATAAAAGATCCGCTTCTTAAAGCAGTTGATGCGATAG